CTCACCACCACTAGAGTGCTCTGGTCTCCCTGGAGAGTTTCCACGTAACCTGCTCACTTCTGTGCTGCAGCCAGAACCTGAATTATGGCAGTTGTTTCTGTTGAAACCACATCTAGGTCCACATGGGCTTTAAGTGGGGAAAATATGCCCTGCAAATTAACCCTCCTTAGAGAAGGAATCTCACACAAGCAGCCCTTGGGGTCTTTTCTGCGCTCTGCAAGCTGGCAGGGCACAGGAACAGTAACAGGAGAAGTTTCTGGCCATCCTTCCCACCAGCCAACTGCAGAACAGAGTTGAAACAAATCGGTGCAGCCAGTTTGCACGCATGCAAGGGCACAGTGGCACTGTTTTCACCTCACGCCAGGACATCTCTACACACCCCATTGCTACTGCTCCGGCCTCACTTGAAAATCCCAGCCTGGCAGAGGAAGGGTGAAGGGAGGAAGATGGGGCCAGATGGTGTCTGTGCTCCCCAGTGCTCTCTGAGGAACACAGACTCCTTGAATTCCTACCTCCAGGAGGGGCTGAAGCAGAGGATGGAGAGGACAAGGGTACCAATAAGCAAAAAGATGACAGCAAGAAGTGCTATCTGAAAACTCTCCTGTTCCTAACACTTTAGGAAAGCATACGTAAGGACAGCACAAATTATTTGCTGTCTCTACACCATAGAAATGTTATTACTTGGAAGATCACCTCCATAAAAAGGTTTTTCATTAGATGGTTCCAGATAGGGTAGCCAGCTCATTAGAGTGCTGGGTTCCTGTGCAGCCAGCTCTATTGACCTCATCTCAGCTGTGTAAGCAGACTAGAGAGGATTATTTTTTTATAGCTGACATTGCCAGTGATTTTGGTTGAAGCCTGTGATGCTGCTCAGGTCTGTTAGTTGGGGAGCTAAGCTCTCTGCTTCTCCCAGCTGATCACTCCATAGGAAGTCTTCTGCATGCTGCTCCACCTCTCACCCAAACACTGCTCATTCTCATTTTACAGTCAATTACCCCCAATAGCAATGAAAAATGCAGCAAGATGACAAGGATCTCCTAAATGGGGCAGGCGCATGGAAAGCCCCTTTCCTTTTCTTCTTGTCACTCAGCTTGATGTTTCTTCTCCTCCACTTTCCGCTCAAGCGGAGAGCTGCAAGGTCTTGGAAAACAGCTTTGCCGCAGGAACTCCTACATCAACAAAATCCTCAGAGTTGCCATCATTACAACATCTTCCTCAAATTTTATTAAATGCTTACGAAAAAAATCCAGGACACAGTAAATTTAAGCAGAAAGCAAACTGATGCAGGAAGAAAGAGAAGCTGCCCTCCCTCCAGGAGAGCAGAAACAAGTTGCAAAATTATGTTGACATGGGAAGAGGGCAGGAATAAGACTTTAAGGAAGGGATGGGGGACATGCTAACACCATGAAGTATGAAGACGTGGGAGAGCTCAGAAACAGCCCTGGGAGCTGATTTACAGATCTCAGGCCCAAGGCCAGAGTGCCAATCTTTAGGGGCTCAGTTTCCCCGTGTTCACAGCAAGCCCTGACCTCCCCAAACAACTCATTAGGATGTCTTTTCACCAAGGCAGCTTCCAGCATAAGAGAAGCAGCCGTTTCCCAGATATCCTGTCCACCTCCAGGAGCATAGGAGGCAGGTTATCAACGCGCCCACCACCTCTGACATTCAGAAGTGTTTCAATCACTGGTGCTGGAGCCCACACCTTAGAGAACAAGCAAATCCCTTTCCCGAAGAAGGGAGATAATGCCAGTGATGAGCATTCGTCACCTGGGAAAGGAGACCTTCCGCCCACGTTGGACAGGGAGAGGAAGGCAGCAGCTATTTGAAGCAAAGCTGCTATTGCCACTGTCAAGACGGAAAAGTGGCAGGAACATTTTGGCAGGGTACATAACTGTGATTAAAGGATGATCGAATCAGGACTAAGTTGAATGTGATTTGATGTACACAGAGTGGATGGAAGTCCCTCAAAGCAGATGATGTAGAGGGACAGAGGCTGCATTGTAAACAGGGGAAGACTTTACCCACAGCTGGCACCAACAGGGTGACAAGCGGTCCTTGCGGTCTCCTCACGCTCAGGGTTTGCCCATTGCCCTCCTTTCAAACACCGATTCTTTTACCAGGTTTCTGTTGAGCTCCCTTTCTCCCACCACCCAGCCACCAAGAGCCAAAAAAGTAGAAATTCTTCACCATGTAGCAAAAGCCCTGCCAGCTCGGCAGGGCAGCAGATCCCTCTCTCCTTACACTTGAGAAAGAAGAGAGGGAGAAGAGCCACAGCCTCCCATCTCCATAGCAGAGCCATATAAAAAAAAAACAAAAAAAAGAAGCCAAAGAGTCACGTAGAAGGTTAAAACAGGGATGGGTTTTGCCAGCTGATCTAGTTCCTTTCATCCAACCGGAGGCAGCATGGGGTATTGCTCACACCCCGAGAGGAGTCAGGCTGTACCGAAGCAGACTGACATCAGGCAGGAGGAGAAGAGAAACATCCTTCAATTATCTTCTGTGGAGCAGAGGAAATAGTGGCATTGAGGGTTGCATCGAGCCAGGACCAAGCTCAGCTGCAAGACAAGAAAACAACAAGTTTATGCACACCGTTTGGCCTGCCACGAGCGATACCCTGGGCTGTACAGGGGCAGCATCTTGTCTAGCAATTACAGGTGGCTTTCTCCCACCCGTTTCCACAAAGCCCTGTGAATCAGCCCATAAAGCTTCAGCGCTGCAGGACAGCCAACCGTGCTACCTGCCCATGGCAGAGCAGATGCCGAGGGCTGCATGCCCAGCAGAGGTCACGACTGCCCAGGCAGAGGGAAGGACGTGCTCCTGCCCAGCCGTCTCCTCCCAAGGAGGAGATTAGCAGGTTTCCTTCAAGCCCAAGGAAGCCACTAAAGTGGAGAGTGTGTTCCTATAGCCCCCAGCAGCCGCAGCTCTCCGCCTGGGACCATCTGCAACGGTATCGGGTTCCTGCAGCTCTCGATCTGCTCCGTGCAAGACAGCTGGTGCAGCCGAGGGACTCCAGCACGCAAATTACTTTTCCATCGCATGATAAATGACTCCTCCATGCCAACACTCTCCCCACCATTCCCAGTTTGGGGTTGATTGCAGATGGAGCAGAGTCCAGGAGAACAGTTGGGGTCCAAGAGTGGGTGACCTCCCCTCCACTCACAGGCACTCAACCAGCAGCAGGGAAACTTAACCATTTGAAAGCCTCTTGACTCAGCTTCTAGCTCAATTTCCTTCCAGCTTGTCACAAGCCTACCCAAGTTTCTCAGGCAGTGTTTTCCCTCTTGTCCCTGGGTTTTCAGCTCTGGCCTTTCTGCTGGCAATAAAGCAAGTCCATCTGTCCCTCTGCTTCTGCTTCATTACACGGCAAGGGGGAAGACGCTCACAAATCTTGCTTGTTGCAGAATTTCTCCTGAGCACACAAAGCTCTGAAGGAGACTCAAACAAAGCCAAGCGTGACAGGGAAGGCAAATAAATTAGGAGCTGATTTCCTTTTGCCGTCTCTTGGCATCTCTCTGCCTCACTAGTCAAACACACAGACTCTGGCACAGTCACATGCAGTGGAAGTTACCACCCACAAGGTCTCCAAGACCCACAGCACAGCAGGTTTCAAGTCAGATGGGATGCTGAGATAGCAGCAAGAGCGATTTTAAGAGCACAGACTATTGTAAGAGACCACAAATCTTGAGGTTATAGAGCACAAAGCAGCCTCTAACTTTGGGAAGAGAAGAAAAGTTTTCCTGGTACATGCAGATTATATTTAAACTTCCCACTCCAAGAACCTCCATGCCCTCCTCGGTAGCATCTGGCAGTTTGCAGCAAATCCCAGGCAAGATCCTGCTCTGACCCATGTGGGAAGCTGCATTTTTCTGGAGTGCAGCAATCCATAGGACAAGGAAAACACTCAAAGAGCTGGGAGGTTCACGGGTTGGGAAGTTCACTGCCCTGCCTCCTTAGCATTCCCAACACAAGAAACCTGAAGGAGGTCAGCCTTATAATTCTGGCTTGCCAGTGCTGCTAGACCACAGCTCATCTGTAGTACAGGCTGTCCATGGGACCACATTAAACAAGAGCAGACGAAATCATTCCACAATCAATCCTAACATCAGATGCATGTACTAGCTCAGCTTGCAGCAGATAAAAATCACCCAAGCAATTACCAATCCCTATACAAACAGGACCAGAGTAGTGTTGCACAAGAGCAAGTATGCATCTCTCCAACTGAGGCATTTTGGCTTTCTGACCCAGAAGAATCTAGAATATCCACAGGGCTGGGGAAGAGAGCAGGTATATGATGAAGGAATGGGCGCTCAGCCTTTTTTTGGGCCCGTGCAGACTTGTTTCTAAGAGTAGCTCTTGGAATAGAGCAAGTCCTAATCCCAGCCTTGTGCCTAAGGCATGAAGCTGATAAGCCACTGGGAATGCCCAACAGTTGTCAGCCTCAGCTGGCACAAATCCCCTCCGAGCCCCTCGCCAAAACAGTGGGAGGTTTCTCATGCCTGCAGCCGAAATAAATGCATCGGTTGGTAGCAGTGCACCACTTGCTAGACACTGCCCAGACCCTGCCCACCACAGCCTCTGCTCTGGAGGACACTCGTCCACCGTAGTGAGGGCTGGACCTTGAAGGCTTTGTGCTCCACATACCACCTCTTCAGTGCTTTCATTTGCTGCTCTTTTTTTTTTTTTTTTTTCTTCTCCTTCTTCGAAGTCATCTTTCTTTTCCCCATCCACAAGCAGTTTTGGCGGATACACCACCTGCTCGCTCGGTACAGATGAGCTTCCCAGGCCGGAGCTGACAGCAGCACTGCAAGCCCAAAGACAACACCAGGCACTCAAGCGCAAATAGCTGTTCTGCGCTGTTGAGAGTTTTATTCGGGATAATTTTCCCACACAGTAGGTATCACGCTACACACCCACACTGACCAGAACGGGTTGGAAGCCACCAGGAACCTATGAGCAGAGCACATGCAATAGCCCCTCTGGGCAATCCTGACATCAGCCCACCTCCTCTTCCCCGTTTCGGGATGCTCAGTTGCATCCAGCACCAGGGATTAAGGGGCTCAGTGATTTATGCCTCATTTCACAGCAAAACTCAGCAACTCTGTGCTGAGTGAGAGCCAGGGCAGAGCCAGATTTCTTTTTGGGGGCTGCCAAAGAGTCATGGCAGGTCAGAGGCTGGGTGCTTGGTGTTCCCCAGCCTTGCTCAGGAAGAGAAAGAGGAAAACTGAGACTAGTTTTATCTTTCTATCCCCAACACAGACCCTTAGCTCGACTGCAGGAAATCTGACTGGTGCTCACCAGAAAGAAGAAGAGATGGTGGTGAGCCAGCAACAGAGAGCAGGAAAAGCAGTTGTGCATCCCCCCAGGAGCAGCACAGTGTTGGCTAAAGGGTGCCCAGCTGCAGTGGCCATTGGGGATAAGACCCAACTCAGACCACAACCTATTTCTGTTTCACTGAAGAATGGGTGATGCAGAGAGAACAGTGGCAATGCTCCCCAAGGGAAGGAGAAAAGTAGGTTTTGTCTTAAATTGAGTGCAGAAAGAGAAGGTTGCCGCTGTGCGTGACGCAGCAAAGAAATGCCAGTCAGAGTTAGTGTTGTGACAAAGCACTTCCATCAGATAAACACAGCTTTTAAGTCCTGTGTTTCATGGGGATGTCTTTCTGCCAGCTGAAATCAATCAAGGCCAGTGTTGACTTTGACTCAAATGACACATGTAGTTTATGGCTGTTCTGTTGTATATAACATTGTATCAGAGTATTAATAACTGGAATTTGGAAAGCCATGAAACATTCCTGATTTGTGCCTCTGGAGAATGTTTCAAAGCTTGAAAATTTCAGACCTGCTCTGTTTCTCTTGACATTTCCTTCCAAATCCTGTTAGGACTCGCCAAGACACGAACGTCTGGGGTCCCAAGGAGCTCTCGCTGGATTTTGCGCTAACGCCAGGAGCAGGAGGGCTCCAGGTTTGGCAACACAGCTTCCCCCCAGTACATCTCTTGCCCTGCCACACCACCCTCAAGACTGGCTGAGGATACCTTGGGAGACTAAGGAAACCAAGACTGATGCTCTTCTCCCACAATACTGACTCCATACTTACAGCTTCTGGAGAGAGGAAGAGGAGGCCTTGTGTACGAATAAGTACACAGAGTAAGACAACGCCAACTCTAAGCTTTGTGTTTTCTTCCAGGAGATGACAATGCTGATAACAGTATCATCCTCCATCCAACCTGCTCCCATCCGCCACCACCTTCCTCCCCCTCCCACCCTACCAAAGCCCGGGAAGGACAACCTGCGGCTCCAGCGGCTGCTGAAGAAGGCAGC